TTGAGGTCTGATCACCATGTTGTGTGTCCTGTAAGGATTCCAATGACGTCAAGGTACAAGAGTCAGCTTCAGAGCTGGGTGTGGTGGGACCTACATTTCCAGCTACTCGGGAAGTAGAGATAGGAGGATTCTTGTCCTACTCCACATACTTAACGTCCACAAGCCACCTCTCCATTTTCCCCATGCTTCAAGTCCACAACACACCAAAGGCAGAGACTCCACCGGAAATGAAAAGCCCTGAGGAACTCCTTGGCAAGCTAGGTGTTTTCAGATACTTAGACACAATCCCACTGAAATGAGTAGCCAAAACAAAACAAACCAAAGAAACCACTTGAAATTACCCATGATCAGTTTCTCTCCTTTTCTCCTTCCTCCCATCGATCTTTAAGTAATCAATGCATCAACAGTGCCCATGGCATTGCGGCTTGTCTGGTTCTGCATTTACTCCAGTTAGGAGAAGCTAGCAGGCAACTAAGGAGCTGGAGAGAAATTCTGCTACACAAAATTTCACCCCAGAGAACAGCCACTGCCCAGACTTGTTCTGTGACTGATAAAATAGGCTGCAATCCTTTGTAACTGTCAATTCTTCCTTTGGCTGTGGACAAACTTGGTTCCTCATTTATATACATGAACTCAAGTTTGTGACCCTCACAAGGCTACTCTAACACTCCATAACAAGCCAGGTAAACATTGTTTGGTTTTTAAAAAGCCTAATTCCTTAGGGAAAAACTATTTTCTGGCTTGTGAAACTCAGGATGTCACCTTCTGTTTATTATCATTTCACTGGCAATCTACCCTCATAAAAGTCATTCTTTTATCTGTCTGACTTCACAGCTACCCAAGAAGTGTGTGTGTGTGTGTGTGGGGGTGTGTGTGTGTGTGTGTGTGTGTGTTGCGTGAAAGCCAGGTACCAACTGAACCATCTATTTATCTTCGGACCATCCATCTAAATATGTATTATAGAACCCTTTACACCACTCTAAGAGCAACTTCAAGCAAGACATCTTACAAGAGGAAGCTCCGAAGACATGTCATCCTAGCAGAGAATATGTCACACCTGTAAAATGCTTGAAATCCTTTAATAGCGTCTCATTGCTTTTCAGATGAAGGCTAAAATTCCTGAGGTAACAACTCTCAACTGTTGCCTGTTGTCTGCAGCTTCAGACATCAGCTTCTTCCTGCTCAGCCACACCAGCCTGACGTCAAGGCGGTGCTACAAACGTCGCCCATCGTTTCGCTCTGTCTAGATTCCTTTCATCTGCTGCCTACTTTTCCTCCGTAACTCTTATTCACCCATCACATCTTCTCTCCTCAGTCACTATGGAGTCAGGAGAGACTCCTCAGCTCAGTCAGATTCATTTTTGCCTTAAGTTCATAAAGGAGCTATCTTTTCTTCCCTGTTGGCACTTATCCCATTTATTTGTCATATTTGTCATCTATTGTTGATTAGCCAATCACCTCAAAACTCAGCGGCTTAAAACAAACTTGTGTCCAAGTCCCTGAGAATTGAAAGCCTGGAGGAGTTTAGGAGAGTTGGCTCTGGCTTAGAGTTTCATGAGATGACCCCCTAGATGTCAGCCAGCCACCCCCCAGCCTTCTGTAGCCCTTGGGCTGCTGTCAACGGTCGCAACTCCTTACCTGAGGGCCTGTCCCTTGCCCTGCTTCAGTCCTTCCCCAACATGGGTGCCGGCTCCCTCCACAGCAATCACTCCAAGAGAGAACAGTTGAGAAGGAAGCTTGAATGCTTCCCGTGTCCTACTCTTACCAGTTCCATGCTTCTCTCCCCCTTGACTTAGAAATACATCTTTAACTCAGACTCAGCACGAAAGGGGCGAGGGGAGAATGCATGGATGAATAAATGAATGAATGAATGAAATTTCGCATCCCAGGTAAAATAGAGAATGTTGTACAAATTGTGTAACCTCAATTTCTGGTTTGGAGGAATGAGAGTGATTATAGCCACTTGGCAGGTCGTTATAAGAATTAAGCAACACACTCTATGCATAGCACCTGGAATAATGTGACAGACAGAACCCATTAAGCGTTATTTTTCTTCATCTCCTGTGTTTAAATCACTCATGCAATCCATTCCCATGCATCCTGCTCCTCTTAGGAATTCTCTAGCCTTCCTGTCTGTGAGCTCATTTCAGTTGCCACCACTCCAGGTCTCTTACACTTTCCTTTCCATGAGCCTTTAACAATTCCCTGGACCCCCACTTTCTATTTAGTACAATCCATTCCACGCACTGCAATGAGATTAATCATCTTTACAGCGATGTGTCTTTCACTTCTGCAACCTCTATTGCTGCTGCCCTGTCTGCTCTTGGCAGTGTGTAATAAATCTTAAGCAGCTTGGATTTGATTTCCAGGACCCTCTCAGTTCCTTGTTTATACTGAATTAAAATAGTACATTGAAATCCAGGATGACTTGGAGAAATGTGTTCAGCCAATTGCAAGCTAGAGAGTTGACTGCCAGCCACATATGAGTACAATCTCATCACTATACAAGCTAAGTGACTCACAAGAAGAGATGCTCCAACAGAACAATCACACAAGGGGCTGGGAAGGTGGCTCAGTGGTAGAGCACTTGCCTTGCATGCATGAGGCCCTGGGTTTGATTCCTCAGCACCCCATAAGCAGAAAAAGCCAGAAGTGGTACTGTGGCTCAAATGGTAGAGTGCTAGCCTTGAGCTGAAGAGCTGAGGGACAGTGCCCAGGCCCAGAGTTCAGGCCCCACAACTGAAGAACAATCACAGACTGTAATATGAGCTACATTTGCTTGTTTTCTAGCTTGAAAGCAAACACCTTCATACTAATACCAGAAGGATATCTGTGCTTTTCTTCTGTATAGCCTTACATTATTGGTAATAGTGGGAATTTTATAAATACATTTAAAGATGGAAAATTCATGTGTGTGTGCATGTGTGTGTGCCCACACGCATGTGCACATGCATGTGTGTGTCCCATTGGGGATCAAACCCAGTGTCTCGTGCAAGTTAGGCAAGTACTATACCACTGAACTATACTCTTGGCCCTGAAGATAATAAATTCTCAATGATGTGTGTTGTAGAGACCATGTGTAGTGGTAAATACAATTAGGAAAAATGTTGAACTAATAAGGCAAAAAAAATCTACCCATCATTTTCTCTGACTTACCATAAATCACATGCTATTTGTATGTTTTGGTGAATAAAATTCTGCTTAAAAATACTTGTATTCAGGGAAATGCTTGCTTTCGAGTGAGGAATGTGAATATTTTGAAAACAGAAAAATTCAGGATGAGTAAAGATATGAAAATTATTCACTCAGTGATTCTGTGGCATAGTACCACGCTGTTGAAACATTTTCATCTGTTCAGCTATTTTCATTTTGCCCAAAGATTTCAGAGCTCTGTTCCTGTCCCCAAGTTCTATAAAGGGCCATGAGTACTTAAATCCTAGAAATACAAGCAACCCTCTTTGAATGTGCAGTAACCAAAGCTGAATTTTTTTACTTAAAGGTTAGTAAGTCACTCTTTTCCCTGCTTTTCCATTAACTCTGGAATTGTATACATTATTGAGCAACATCTCCTTTATATTAGTATTTATAAGCTTCAGAGTAACTGGGGGAAAAGGTTCAGCCAGCTTCCCAGGGATTTTTTTACTTTTGGCCAAACATGAAACCTCTTTAATACGTTTTCCCAACACTGAAATTTTGGGATTTTCAGAAAACTTCATTTCTACAAATGGGAAACAAAGACTCGAGATGCCTGAAGAACCTCACCAACTCTGCCATAGCAAGAAGCCCATGACTCTGCGATGTGTTTCCGTGGTAAGCCTTCACTTCCCAGTGATGGGTCTACCCCAGGGAGCATCCAACTTCAAGCCACTGAACTGCTGGGCCGTTAGGGGAGACTGTCCTTTGCCTTGTAGGATGTGAGCCACACTCTCAGTATGTATCCTCCAGATGCCAGTAGCATCTCTCACCCTCATCCTGGCCTGGTGACAACCAAAGACATTGCCCTCTGGGGACAAGAGCACTCTCAGTTGAGACCCATTAATCTCTTTTAGATCTTCCTTCTCCTCCTCCTCCTCTTCTTCCTTCTTCTTCCCCTTCCCCTTCTTCCCCTTCTCCTTCTCCTTCTCCTTCTCCTTCTCCTTCTCCTTCTCCTTCTCCTTCTTCTTCTTCTTCTTCTTCTTCTTCTTCTTCTTCTTCTTCTTCTTCTTCTTCTCCTCTTCCTCCTGCTCCTCCTCCTCCTCTTCTTCTTCCTCCTCTTCTTCCTCCTCCTCCTTCTCCTCCTCCTCGTCCTCCTGGGGCTTGAACTCAGGGCTTGGGCACTGTTCCTAAGTTTCCTTTGCTCAAGGCTAGCACTCTACCACCTGAGCCACATTGCCACTTCTGGTTTTTTCTGAGCAGTTTATTGGAGGTAAGAATCTCTGTGAGGGATGGCCTTAGATCTCAGCCTCCTGGTAGCTAGGATTATAAGTGTGAGCCACCAGCGCCTAACCATCCTATTATTTTAACGAACTATTTTTTATGCTTGTAGACAAATAGCTCAAGGTACAAATATATCATAAACCATATTACAGCTCCATATGAGAAGCCATACATTTTGGGTTTTGAGTTTTGGGTTTGTTGTTGTTGTTGTGTCTGTGTGTGTGAAAGAGTTCTGGGGTTAGAATTCAGGGCCTGGGCACTGTCTCTGAGCTTTTTTGCTCAAAACCAGCACTTTACCACTTGAGTCACAGCTCTACTTCCAGCTTTTTAGTGGTTAACTGGAGATGAGAGTCTCATGAACTTTCCTGCCCTTGCTGGTTCTGAGCTGTGATCCTCAGATCTCAGCTTCCTGATTAGGAGGCTAGAATTACAGGTATGAGCCACTGCACCCAGCTCATACCCTTGCCAAGAAAAGGGGCTTTTTAAAATTTATTTAGCATATACAGCAAACAAACCCTAAACAAGGGTAGGCAGTCCCAACTTCCACCATCGTAAGGGTTAAAAAGGAGCAAGTTACAAATAGGCAGTTTTGATCCATGTTTAATGAAAAAGAAGTTACATGAATAGAAATGGACATATAACAAAGAAACCAATTTGGATGAGAGACCAAATGGTGGTGATAACTAGAACGAGGATATATATATATATATATATATATATGTTTGTTCTGAATTTACTCTTATTAGATTCCTGATCCAACATCCTTAAATCCAATACAAAGTAATCTTCTAATTTCACTTCTGTTTGCACGGGAACTCACCAAATAATGTCAAACACTATACCCTTCCATTTTCCCCATATCCCAAATACACACAGGACAAAGCTTGAGATGTTCACCATGTGTTAACATGGAGTAAAGAAACTGCAGAGTTTTCTGTGTCTTTATTGCAACAGAAAGTCAGCACGGGAGAATGGAATTTTGGCACAAGTATGATTTCTTGCTAATATTTTCATGAGAAAGCTTTTATAGTCTTCAACCATTTATTCTTAGGACAATCAATCATGGAAGGCTTACATATGACTCTAGTGAACATAAATACATGCAGAGAAATAGCAACGGTTTATATTTGTGCAGACTTGAAATGTCAAAGGCATGAAGTTTGTCCGTGCACAGATGTGCAGCTCCAATGAGAATCTTACTGGTTTGTTTCATGGCTCATGATTCTTAGAGAGGGTCAGTCGATACTTTATTTTTATCATTCTCCACCCTAATGTATATTGTGATCACATGTTCCTAAAGAAGATTACACATATTCTAGACATTTGCTATGTGGGTAATAAAGAGAAACAATAGGTTTTACTGGCCATCCCTTTAAAATAAATTCTTTCAGCCAGTATATAGCAATCACCACTGTCTCACACTTACATTTAATCATTTCAAGTTAGGATGAGCCCTGCCTCTTCTGATACTGTATTCTAAGTTTTTCCAGTTGTTCCACACATTGTGACTGGGCCAACTTCAGTGTCCGGTTCTCCTCCGTCAGAGCCTCAAACTCCTGAACCAGTTGGGCAGCATCCACCTTCTCTCTTTCTGCCTGGTCCAGCTTGGCGATGAGCTCCTTTCTGAAAATGCAGGAAAAGGCACAGAATTCAACTCGAGTGAATCAGATGATCCCATAATAGCACAATAGAAATGGAATATTTCATTTTGCTTTCTTTAAAAATGTTTTTACCCATTCCATGTTCTACCTACCAATGGCATGCTTTTATTTCTCCAACTTCACAAGTGTTTAGGTCCCTTTACTTTCTTACTGCATTCCCTAAACACTAAACATACACAGAATATCCTATAACTCCCAAACAGGAGTATAGCAAGTACTTAAAAGTTATAAATCATTTCAAAAACAAGAATACACAGTTTAGGATAGTGAATGAGTTATGTCATTATATTGTCTTGTAGGAAAAATAATTAGTTCACCTGTTACTGAATTACCTTCCTTTGATTCCTCTGAGTCGGATACATCTGAGCTCAGGGAAGTCCATTTGCACTTTAAAAAAATCTTCTCTTGAAGATATTGTTTATTTATCCTGCCTGTACACAATCGCCCTTGATATCCATCAGGGATTTGTTGTAGAATCTCCACATCCAACCCCAATACTTATCTGCATATAACCACACACATCTTGCCTACATTAAGTCATCTCCAAAGCACTTCCAATGCTGAATACTAAGTATTTGCTATGTAAATAGCTGCTGTACTGTGTAGTTTAGAAAATGATCAAAAACTGAGAGCACACCCTAAATGTAAGCATGGGGCCCATGGTTGGTTGAATGCATGGATGCAGGCTCAGGGAGGGGAAGGGCCTCTGTCATGCAGCTCTAGTTAACAAGGTGGTGCACTTACACTGGGTGCCAAATGCAGTGTAGTATTAGGAAAGAAGACTGAGGGGACTTAAACTCAGTTCTCAGCAATCTTTGTGAATGAGTCATTGATGCAGCCTTCTATAAGCCTAACAAGGAGCAAACATAGTCCATGAACCTGATAACCCAAAGAACACCAGGTTATTCTAGGTGCAGAATGACCTAAATTAATTCTTTATTTCACATTTCTTTCTTCTCCATGAGGCAAAGCCCAGTGCTTAGATATATAGTTTTCTGCATGTGTTTCTTTGCTTTATTCTTTGAAACCAGGGCTTGAACTCAAGGCTTCAGGGTTGCTAGGCAAGTGCTCTACCACTTGAGCCACGCTTCCTTCCACATTAACTTTTAGTCTTATTTATGCTTCAGATATGTTTTCTCATACTTTTGCTTGATCGGGCCATGGATCACAATCTTCCTACTTATGCCTCCTGTTTGGCAAGGATTATGAGTAAGGCACCACACTCAACTTATTTGTTGAAGGTGGCCAGCCTTCTACATGAATTTCCTAAAGGAAAAGCTCTGTAATGCTGATGTTCACATTGGAAAATTGTACTAGTTCCTAAAAAAAATTCATTTAAGTCACACCAATGCATCAAATCCACAATTTCAAAATCTTACACCATAGAGGATGTTAATTTTTATTATCTTTAAGTAGTTGTACAAATGAATTAACATTCAATCTATGTCTATAAGTACAATGTATCTCAATCAATTGATATTACCCCTTTCATCATTATCCTCTAGTCTCCCCAGCAGAGAACACCAATTTTTAAAGAAAATGTCTATGCATAGCTAACTTAGTGAAAAGACCTGGATAATCAGTAGTGCAGACACAGCATGTTGTATGGAAGCTGTATTCAAAGCCTGGGGCATACTAATGCCAATTTCAGACCCAAGCCTCAGTCAGCTTGACTCCTCTGTTCCATCCTCAAAAGCCCTTGAGGTTCTGTGAGTGTATTCTCAGGGAATAGGGATAAAGACTTGTTTAAAGCACTAACAACCTAGCCTCCCTTGTAAGACATGCAACTATTGTCTTCATTATAATCATTCATCACTACTGTTGACCTCATGTCTAAATACTTTTCTTCTTCTATCTCTTGATCTAATCAGATACTGACCTGATATTACTTAAGATAAAGAAAAGAACAAGCCGAATGTCACTGGGTGATGCCTGTAATCTTAGCTACTCAGTAGGCTGAGATCTGAGGACTGCGTTCCAAGCCAACCTGGACAGAAAAGTCCATGAGTCTCTTAGCTCCAATTAACCACCAGAAAACTAGAAGTGGCGCTGTGACTCAAAGTGGTAGAATAGTAGCCTTCAGTAAGTAAGCTAAGGGACAGTGCTCAGGCCCTAAGCTCAAGCCCGATACAGACCAAAAATAAAAGAAAGAAAAGCACTATAGTAGTATTCAGGAAGATGATCAGGGTTTCTAGGAGCAAGGGAGAATCCTAACTACATACCCAATTGAACTATGCCAGTATGGGTTGGTACTGAATAGAAAAAGAGTATTCATTAAAAAAAAAAAACAAACTTTAAACACAAACCTAAACCATTTCCACATATACATATTCACTTGTAAATAATATTGGTCTTATATACACTATAAGGCATACATAAATATTGAAAAAAGGGAAGACCAGATTCGCAAACTAGTAGTTAAAAGTCTGATGAGAAGTTAACTGTATTCTCGGAAATTCCTCATTAATTGCAAAAAATGTAAAAGCATGGACAGGGCTGGGGGCAGTAGTTCATGTTTTTAATCCCAGCTAGATGGAAAACAGACAAAGCAGGTCACATTTTAAGGACAGCCTGGGAAAAAAGAGAGACCAGTCCCAACTAATGAGCTGGAGCATGGTAGTATGCCCTGTTATCTCAGGGACCCAGGAGCCTGGAGGAGCCCTTAGGCCAAAATCCCAGACCCTTCCTAACTAAAGCAAAGAAAGGGATGGAAGCATGGCTCAAGTGGTAGAGCACTGCTTAGCAAGTATAAGGCTCTAACGTCAAACCCCAGTACTAGCAAAGAAGAGAACCTAGAAAGTCTAACTAGAGAGTGTCTCTACTGTTGCAACAGACAGACATTGTGTGCACTGTGAAGGACTTCTGTATGGTTTCTGCATAACTCACATCTAAGTCACAACCAACACCATGCTGTCAGAATTGAGAGAGGCTCTACATCTGCTGTCTTCAACAAATGTTAAGAAATGTTCCATACATAAAAAAACCAAAGAGACACGTAGGTACAATGTGTAATTCTGGACTGAAAAAAATATACCTTTGAAGGACCTTAGTAGAAAATTGATACAATCTGAATATGAATTATGATCTAGACAATGGTAGATTTGGACCTAACTTCCTCAATTTTAATTTTTTTAACTTTCTTGATCTTAATGATAGAACATCCTTGTTCTTAGCAAACATTCGCTAAAGCATTTAGGAAATGATATTAAATTATATTTTTAAAAAGCATTTAGGGCACAGGTCATGATGGTGTGTGCATATTCATGTCTATACATGTATTTCCATCATCTATCTACATATGTGTGTTTGTGTGTGCCAAACAAAATAAACCTCAGCAGTTATTTTTGTTTGTTTGGTTTTTTGTTTGTTTGTTTTCTGTCTATCATGGGGCTTGAACTCTGGGCCTGGGCACTGTCCCTCAGCTCTTTAGCTCAAGGCTAGCACTCTACTACTTGAGCCACAATGCCACTTCTGATTTTTTGAGTGGTTTACTGGAGATAAGAGTCTCACGGCCCTTTCTGCCTGGGCTGGCTTTGAATCACGATCCTCAGATCTCAGCCTCCTGAGTAACTAGGATTAAAGGCGTGAGCTACTGGCACCCCAGCAGTTTTTTGAGGAAGAATGAAACACAAGTAGAGAAGTGTTAAGTAATTAATAAATCGTGGAAGGACCTATGAGATTATAATACTACTTCAGCAACTTTTCTATAAGTTTGAAACCATCAGAATAAAGATATCAGAAAGAGGATGAAAAACTAAGTCAGAATAGTATTTTTAATGTTCCTATACTCAACAGATAGCTCTGTGCACCCACCATGGAGTCCACTGGAGAAAAACAGGCCTTGGAAAGAAAGTTGCCAATTGGGGACAGCTAAGAACAATCTGGGTCATAGACCAACAAACACATGATGCTCTTTGGGCCCTGTTCGTTCTTCAGTCTTCTGTAGTGTTTAGAATAAAATATTTTCCCCATAAATGCATTTTCCAAATGAAGAATGGAAGAAATTGGTACTTCAGAGAAAGCTTACATTTTTAAAAGGAGAAAATAAAACTCAAAATGCTCCATTAAATTAAAAATGTTATGCAGCAAATAAGAAAAAAGGTATCTATCAAAGCCCATCTTGCTGATTAAATGGTTAGTGCTCTAGGCCCTGGAGCATAGTTTAAAGCAAAAAATGTTGATAATCAAATATAATAGGCTGGGTCCTGATGGCCCACACAGGTATCTTAGTTACTCCAGAGGATGAGATCTGAGAATCATGGATCAAAGCAGCCTGGACAGGAAAGTCCAGGAGACTCTTATTTCCAATTAACCACCAGAAAAACAGAAGTGGAGCTAGGTTGAAAGTGATAGAGTGTTAGCCTTGAGTGATAGAGCTCAGAGACCAGGCCCTAAGTTCAAGCCCCATGCCTATAAAAAACAAACAAATAAATAAACATAATGTCACAAAACATTAATTTTGTAACTACAAAGAATGGTCCAGATTGTCTAATCATCCTGCATTAGAGAAAGTAACTAATAATTTCTTTTTTACTAGACTCATGAAGATGCAACAGTTTCATGTTCTTGATAAGCAATTGTACAGATATTCAATAAAAACTGCCAAAATGTCTGTTGTCTCCTGTCTAGGACCTATTTATATAGACATATTTATGTTCATTCATTAGTGGTTTATAATTAAACTATGGCATATCAAGCTTCAGAAATATCTTGCAGAGAGATGATATGAAGACCAAATCAATACTTGTAATTAGATAGGATGTGGTCTTATCTTTGATTTCCTGGTTAGCATTTCTATTACTCTCTTCAATATCATGTAATATGGGGAAGAGAACTACAATTACAGTAATCTTATGGTGAAGTTGAGAATCTGCAAAATTGTTTTCTGCATAATATACGCTGGTAATCCTAGCTACTCAGGAGGCTCAGATCTAAAGATCACAGCTTGAAGCCATCCCAGGC